AGGGAAACTGGAGGAAAACACGACACAAGAAAACACCCTATTGTCTATCCCTTCTGCTCCTACATCCACGTGTAACTGGCTGAGTGAACATGAGACAAAAATTAGATCATTTAGGAGGAGGGCTGCCTCGACCTGGCCTATTGAGGACGACCAAGACCGAGAGGCATTTACAACACCCCAGCAGAAAGACGGAGATCGTGCATACACATATTCCTGAAGAGAACAGGAATCGAACTCACGGCGTTTGCGTGCAACGGCCAAAGCCCTTGCGATCTCACAGACGCCAGTTTTCAACATGTCCGACAAGTTTTAAACAACAAAACAAAATTAGTGCAACCGCAACCCAAATTTGACTAAGGACTCAATTTCTCGGCCAATTGGTTTCTCCATGTGCCTTTCCAACCATCATTTATTCATAAGCGTCTCAGAATTTAGCTACTTGGTCCATGATTTAATCTTTTAAAGAGAAAAAGTGACAGAAATAGAAAGGTCGATGAAGAGGCCTGTCCCCGCTCATCCTTGAGACATTCCTGTGCCGCTGGACGGCTGGTGAGTGCACGGACTCCGACAGGCTCTTACAGGATCAATACCGGCGGTATATAGGCTCTATATATAGAATCTGATTTGGGGAATCGGACCCCTGAGGTGGAAAAAACGATGAGTGAGGAGGTAGAGACGGGAAAGGGGGAGGAGTGGTGCTTTTTAAGTTTTAGTTAAAGGTTCATGGAGCACTTACAACACAAAAACGTCATGCAAGAACCGAAGACTATGGGTGTTATACGAGAGTAGCATACAAAAAAGGAGACATAAGGACAATAGGAAAGAAGGTGGAAAAAACACAAGAGCAACCGTCAACTATCCACAAGAAGGGGTGTGGGGGGGGGGGGGGCTCTGAAGTGTTTGTTTGATTTGAGGAGTCGATAACGGTCACTGGTTTGTGAGGGGAAGAAAGAAACAAGATAGAGAGACAGAATCAAACAAAGGCATAGCAAAGAATCAGGACAACTAGCTCTCAGTCCAGGTATCGGGGGAAAAGATCCAATGATACAATAGAGGTAGTCCTCATACAACTGACTGAACCATACGGCTAGTTATCACTGACGGACATATTTCGTGGGAAAAAGATAAAAGGGGCATTAAATTAATCCTATAAAGCCACCCATGCTCACTCCAATGTGAAAGGTCGACATGTCTTAAAAGAGAGAAAAACAAACAACTGAACAACTCGGAAATCTCCATCCCACAATAAAGGGTCTTGCAAACGAAACTCAGATTTCCGTTGTATTTCCATTGTATCGGAGAGAACCAGGGTTTGAACTGAGGCAGGACCTGACGTTGATGACGCTATTACAGTATGATCCTGCTAAAACTATCTTCGTTTTAGTTTTTGTTCAGAGTTTTACGGTATATGCAACACAAATAGGATATACAAGAATCGAACTTTTAGAGGTGTTACTGGGGG